TATATGTATTTGCCCCCGACTGCTTACATGGTTTTTGTCTTCCCCTTCTCCTTCCCCTTTCTCTCTTCTGTTTTTCCCCACCTTCTTTTTATACCCCTCCACCCCCACAGCAGTGGCTCAGATATGCTCATCTACCCAAAGGATATACAAGAACAAGGTCAGAGAGATTTCCCATTGATTCACTCATGTCAGGGATTTCACTGTGCAAGTGACGTCACAAGGATGGTGTGGGGACACCCCTGAGATATGAGACCTCCTGGACACCCCCAGCCTGCTAGCTGGAGGGTAAATCAGCAGCCATGGGAGCTAGGAAGGAAACACCTGCGCTGGGGAAACTTTTTTCAGCATCTCAGTGAAACAATGACTAGGATTCAAACTAACAGCACCTTTGCTGGGCCAGCATTTCCTACATTGTGAGCAGAGTTGTACGTGTGAAAAGTTCATCTCTGAAAACACCCTCCCTTCACTGCACAAGCTGGCAGGAAGCAATGCTGCCCAACATGGCGAGAAAGCAAAGGGCCACATTTGCCCCTACACAGCACCGGGAACTTCCTGTATATAGCAGCCTCAGGGCCGGGCTTGGGCACCAGCACAGGCTGAAGGAGCCCTGAGGCTCATGCCCAGTATTGCACCACTGCAGCTGCTATGAGGAAACAGAGTAGTGAGTGTGTTGTGGGGGAGGTAAGGACTCCCATGTCACACCCCCTGTAACCTCTTCTAGATGCCAGCCAACTGCTGGCCTTTGCAGTGCTGCTGCTGCTTCTTCTTTTTTGTGTACTGGATGCAGTTTCATTTTCAAAGCTCCAGTTTCTGGAGTCATGTTATTACCTGGAAATATGTGTTTTCATTTTAGGGGAAAAAAAGGAAGATTTTAGCCTCTGTGGTTAGGGAGAGGAGCTTAAAGTGACTGTAACTGAAAGACTCAGGAACCAGCAAGCAGATGAAATGAAACAAAAGAAACGCAAAAGCCAGTATGTAAAGAAGGATTCTGAATTTGAAGGTGATTTTGTGATTTTTGGCACTTGACACCTGATTTTTCAATGCACCAAGTTCCCACAGTTCCTGCTGTCCCTTGAATGCAGGAGAAACACAGAGCACGAGGAGGGACTTGTACCACCTCTACTATTGCCTCAGGCCACCACGGTGAGGGAAAGGTGGGCCTCAGGCAATAGGAAACAGGGCTCAGAAAGAGGAATTCCCTTTCCTGAGATGAATCTATTCCAGAGTCAGGATTAAACCCCACTGCTGTGCTATAACTACATATCTGCTTCCCCTCTTCTGTCTGCAGAGATTTGTCTCTGTTCACTCCTTTCTGTACCTTATTTTTAGCTAAGGTTCAGCAACTCCAACAGGCCCTTGGACGTTTGCATGATTTTGGCCTGTCTAAGCTAACTGCTGTGAGGTTCTTGCTAGTACTCTTGCTATTGGGCTGAATGAGTTGACAGGAAGAGTAAAGTGAATTGGTTTTACTTTGTAAAGTGACTGTTGAACTAGCCCTTTTTTGCTCATCAGGTCTTTGACCCATATATGTTTTCATTGATATTACTTCCAGAAGTGCCTAAAATGTAGTAGGCATTCTTCCTCTTATTGCTTCAAAGAGAGATGGGACTGTCCAGTGCATGGCACCATGCACACAGAGATGGGCCCTGCCCTGAAGAACTTACAGCCTAACAAACAAGGACACGCAAGAAGTCACTTGATCGGGGCAGAGCAAGGAGCAGAACCTGTACTGCTCCAGCTGCACAACGAACTGCTACAGGAAAGACAACTGAAGCGAAAGCAGGGAGCTAAAGGCTGTTCTGAAGCTCTGTTTTCTTGCTGCATAAGAATATTTAAATCAGTAATAATGTGGCCATTGCTTGTAAGCTCTCAGGGCTTTAATGCGAAGAGCAGCTCAGGTTTCAGAAACTCCAATTAGGGTCCTGTGCACTGCACCCGAATTCCCTGTTGCAGTAGTGAAAAAGTGTTTAGAAACATGCAGCTTACAAAAGCCACGTAAACAGGCAGACAGCCAGGGTTCAAACTTAACAGCTAGGGACAGACATTACACATAAACTGGTTTAAGTGATGAGAAACTGGTTTAAGCCTGTAACAGAACAGATGTTCAGTGCACATAAACCAGCTTGAAAATGGCTGAAACCAGTTTGAGATAAACCTGGTTGAATGTAGTATCAGAGTTAATTGATCTGGCTCAAACCAGTTTATGCAATATCTGTCCCAGACCCCTTCTTGGTTTAAGTTAAATCAGAAACCTCCAGCGTCCCAGTGGATTTGCAGTTCTGGGCATGGCTCTGCTCCCTGCTCCAGCCCAGCAAGGCTGGCCCTTTCCCCTGCTCCCTGACTGCAGTCTCTGTTTGGCAGAGACTGCAGATACAGCAAGGTCTGCCTGGCTCCCTCCTGCTTCCCCCCATCCCCCTCACCACTCCCTGCTGAAAGCAGGGATTCCCCCCTCCCCTCTGCTTTACACAGACACCTCTCAGCATTAGCTACCACATGCTGGCGAGGGTCCATGCTGTGGGAGATGGGACAAAGACAGACAGGGCAGTATCAGGTTAGGGGTCTTTGATGCTAATCAGCAGGTAGCTGGTAATGTTCCGCCTTGGAAAAAGTTGTTTAAGAAGAGCTTGAACTAATGAGAGATCCTTTTGTTTTGCCAATGGGGTGATAAATGTTCCCTGTGTAACTTCCTGTGTAAGTAAATGCTGTGCAAATCCCTGCTGGTTCCCTCACTGACCGAGGGGCAGGGGGAGGGGCACACTAAGCAAAGCATCCTGCTGGTGCCTGGCCACACCCCCCTCAGCTCAGCATTGTGGAAGGGAAGGGAGGGCTGCTCTAGTCCTGTCCTCCCCACTCCCAGCTTCTAGCCTGAGCCACTGTAGGCGTGTGCCTGCATTTTTTCAGTCCAGAGGGAATGTCTGTACGGTTACAAACTGATTCAGCCTAGGCAGGTTAGACTAACCTACAAAGATTGAATTAATTTAGGCTCAGGCTTTTTGAATGTCTGTTCCTAGCCAACATGATCAAGTTGTTACGCCCATAGGATCATGGCTGGTCTAATCTTTAGGGAACCTATATTTGGCTTGTGAGGAGAGACTTGGGGCCCTGCTGGGAAGATGAAACCTGGAAGAGATGTGGGTGGGAATTTGGACTTGACTGATTTTGCTCTGCTTTTTCTGATCATGGGAACGAGAACCTATTCTGGTTTGCCCATAGTTGTTAGCTATGTTCTTCCTGCAGAAGCATTATGGTCAGAGAGAGCAAGCTGGAATGAACCCTGCTTGATTCCCACATCTCTTGCAGAGACTGCAGGGATAGTAGGTGTGGGCCTCAGTGGGTTTCAAAACATGGTGACTCAATAAACATGAACTCTTAAGATGCTATTTTTAGGGTTAAATATTAACAGGGGAACCACGTGAAATCACACCGTACCATTTTCACACTTTAACTAGGTGTGAAGCTGCATTGTTCAGCTGATCTGTCTGTGATCATAAGGTGCATGTCTTCCCAGGTTCCACAAAATTTAAACAAAGAATATTGTACATGTGCTACAGACACATGCAGCAAGAGCTCAGGGAATTGTGTAGCAACCCACTGTGGAACAAATGAATCTTGGGTCCAGAGATATAAACATTGTACATTACTGTCAGTCTGTGTAAAAGGGTGTAGTGGATACATTGAGAGGAAAAAAGGGAGGCACAGTAGGAAACATGATTTCAAAGTGAAGGTAAGATTATATGGTGGGAGGGACAGAGGCTTTTATCCAGATGCCAGCAAATCAGTTAGTGAATGAATGTTCTTCTGCCCAGGACACTTGACTAGGCTCCAGGAGGAAAGGTGTTGCCTCAGTGGAGTTAGATGATAGTCATCATGGTATGTGTATGCAGGAAGCTCCCCTTGGGATCTTAAAGCACTCTAAGGAGGTGGCAACTATAGGTCCCAGTGTACGGATGGAGTAATCCACCCAGACCGATTTGAATGGCTTTTTCCAAGAGTAAGATATCCAGCCAGGTGTTGCCTGAATTGCAGACTAAGCCCAGGCTTTCCAGGCTTATAGCTCTGCATTTTAGTTACTGTCTCATATAGATACTCCTCCACAATCTTGGAGCCTCAAAGGCCTATCATTCTTGCAAGGCAACTTCTCAGTGAAGGATACTGACAACAAACCCCTGTCCTGCAGGACAGCTGGCATCCAGCAGAGCTCTATGCTGCTGCAGTTCCACTGAAATCAATGGAGTAATGCAGAAGCCGACCAGGCCTCCCACCACGCATGGTTCCAAGGCATCAGACTGTGATCGGTTACTCAATGCCATGAGCCAGCTGTCAGCAGAGTCTTTTATGTGTCAGTTTCCGGTGGCTACTGGAGGGGTAGCTTCCAGTTTAGATCAGCAGTTCGCAACCTTTTTAGACTCAAGTAACACCTTGTTAGACTCTAAGCATCTCTCGTTACACTCAAGGTCCCACTCAGAACACTGTGGTTGTGGGGGCAAGGTATGGACGTGTGAGGTTTGGGGGGTGTGGGGACCCCCCCCACACACACACACTCCCCCCATGGCAGTCCCTGTGGGAGGGGAGGGTGCAGGGAACTCCTGCCCAGCGCAAGCGCTGGTGCCTGGTGGGGCGCGGCTCCGGCCAGTACTAGGTGCGGAGGGATGAGAGGTGCAGCCTGCCTGGCCCCTCTATCCTGAGGGCTCCAAGTGCACCTGCAGCTGCTGCCCTCGCACAGGGCTGCCCCGCTGGACCCCATGGGGAAGCAGGGGGGACTCCCTCCACTCCTGGTCTGTGGAGCTGTGCGGCGGGGTCTGGAAAGGAACAGCTCCAGTGCAGGGCTTTCCCCAGTGCATAGCCCCCACCATAGAGGTGGCAGCAGCAGCGGACCGGGAACCATAGAGCTGGGCCAGCTCCTGCTGTATTTTGTGTCCTGGGAACCATGCGGCGTGGCATGGCACGGAGACAGCTGGCCCAGCCGGGCACCCCACGGGAGCCATGGTTCCCAGCTGCAACACTGGGACACAGAACGCAGCAGAAGCCAGCCTCGCCTCACAGTTCCTGGTTGGCTTCTGCTGCCGCCAGGTCCCAGTCCCACCTGCTGCCACTTCCTCTCCCCCCTCGCTGTGGCTGCCACCGCTACCCTTCCCTTGATGCTTTCCTTCCTTCCCCACCCACTGCCACCACTCTCCCCTGCCCCGCTCTGCCCGCCGCTCCCCACCTGCAGCTCCAACATGACGCAGTTCTGGCTGCAGGGCCGGGCCGCATGCTGCAGTGGGAGCACCATGCAGCCGCCTGCTGGGCCAAGCTGGGTCCTGCTGTGCCGCGATACTTCCCCACCCACCCCCCGCCCATTCTGACCCAAGTTCCCCTCTTGTATGGAGCGAGGCAGGAACAGCCCTAGGGCCCAGGGCCCAGGCCCAGACCCTCCGCTAGGGCAGAAGCTTCCAGCAGGGGGGCTGGGGAGGGAGGCTGGGCTGGTGGGCCTTGCTGCTGCTGGGTCCTGCCACTGTCTCTTCCTGGGTCCTGCTGCTGCTGGCTCCTGTCATCTTTGACAGGCAGTCACGGGAAAATAAATATTAATTTTTAAAAATTTTTAGGTGCCCCATGGGCCGGACAGAATGGCCAGGCGGGCCGGATGTGGCCTGTGGGCCATATTTTGCCCACCCCTGTTTTAAAGTAACCAGTGAATCACAGTGCTGATGACAAGGGAAGAGTAGCTCCTTCCTCCTTTTTTTATTTACAGCTCAGCCAGGACATTAAGGGGAGGCTACTTACCTCAGAGATCTAATGGGGATCAAAACTGACTTCGAGGAATTTATTCGAAGAACCTGGTATAAGCAGCATCATTTCCTCTGGGTAGCTGCAAAACACAGTATTCATTGGTGCTAGTCACTCAGTAAGCGTCTCTTTATTTTTCCGTTGCATGGGGTAGTTGTTGGCTAATCAGTGTACTGAAAAAAAGCAAGTTTCCCCATTTTTGGTCATTAGCAGAGGAAGCAGCGGTGCTTTCCACAACGTGCTCTACAGCACACACACTACTCTGAGCATGCTGTGGCGCTTAGAGACCTTTGGCACTCTACTAGGTAGGTTCAGATGTTTTCTTTCCATGCTTGCTTCTGGCTGTTGCGTTGCTGTTGTGGTCTCCTTTAAAAAGTCCCTCTTGTGAGTCGTTGCTCTTCTCTTTTGACAGTGGCTTGTTTATGATCAGAAGGAAAGAGGGGGCTGTCAGCTCCATGGGCTGTGTGGGGTTCAGTTGGAGTGTGCATGTAGATAGATACAGGCCGTTAGGAGACTGACTCACCCGATAGAAAAACAGAACTGTTTCATCAAACTGAAATTCGAAGGTGAGTTGAATGCTCTAGATCTTCTGCTAACCTGGGTCAGTGGAAACTGATAATGTCTTTCTGGGAAAATGTTCCTTCTACTGGAAACAAGTAAAAAGCAGAGTGAGAAACCGTTATGAAAAGAGGTACTTGTTCCTTCACAGACGGCAACAGTTTGTGACAGGTTAAATGAGCACTTTCTTTTGGGTTTAAACTCTGTGGTTTCTAGATCCCCACTTGGGGAAGTGGTATAAAGCAAAAAGCAACTTTGAGGGTTTGATGGGGGACTGGATTTAGGGTAAAGTGGGTTTGGGGATTGAGAAATGGTAGTCTTTGCCTTTTAGCTGGCAGTTTAAGAGTCTGTGCCACTGCTAGCAGTGAGTGGCTAGCAGCTGAGGGATGCTCCTTTGTGTTTGTGAGATGAGCTCACTAAAGCTTCTAGCAAGAGAGAGCAGCAATTACTAGCCAGCAGGCACTAGCTGTTGATGGTCACAGCAAAGTAACACCAGACAGGAGGTAATGGACGCCCTAGACCTGATTCTTCCATCTTGGGGCTGGTTGGGATAGAGTAGGCGATGCTGAGCCCCAGGATGCACCTGTTCTGGGAAGAGCTGCAGGCCCCAAGTCCAGGGCAGTCACCAGCAAGTCCAGAGCCTTTCACCAGCATTGAAGCTAAAGGAGTGTTTTGGTTTAGAGATATGCACTCCATATTTTTAAATGGGGCCAAGCTACTTGTAGAAAAGGTCTTGATTGATTTAAGGGGCACATGGGCACCTTTGCGTACCAAAGGAACATCAGCCCAAAGCTGCTTCTCCTTAAATATTGGAAGAAGCTAACGCTGAGATAAAATTAGCATGAGGTGCCTGTGCATTGCGACTCCCTGCTGTTGAGGCACCTGTTTCACCAGTGTGTGAAGTCAAGACACGTGATCACCTGGGAATAGAAACACTACTACATATATATTAGTGGCATTTCATTTTAATCATGGAAAACTATGGATTTTGGGTTACTTTTTTAAATCTGAATATTAGGGATTTTTTTTAAATCAGAGAAAACCAGGATCCTTGGTGATCACACATCCAAAAGCCATATCAGTGCTAACACCCTGGTTACATCTTTCAGATGCTTTCACTGAGGCCACCCTTTAGGTGGCAGATGACTTGGAAGCTAATGGAACAAATGTGGATCACACCAGTTTTCACCACAGCGTCTAAGTGATTTAGGAACGGTCTTTTAGGGTGTCTAAGTGATTTGGGAACCCCAGTGCTATTGAGAGGTTTTTACCCTGTATCACATAAGGATACTGGAGAGTCAAAATCCTGTGGACAGATACTGTCCCACAATACCAGGCCTGAGAATTGTTCTTTTAAATTAGCTTAACCTCGTTCACAGTGACTGTGGTGCATTAGTTGCATTAATGACAGTAATGATTGCAGACCTGCACTGGGAATACACAAACGCATCATGTTATTGTGGCTACTGAGACATACCCATGGCATTTGGAGATTAGCAGCTCTTCGGCAACAGGAAAGAACAAGTCAATTCTGTCCTTGCTAACTGTTGTGCAGTCCAACCCCCGCTTGTTTAGACTAGGTTGAATAGGTAGATGGGAGGAGAGTTTGGTGCAGGATGCTTTAGCAGATTATTAATCTAGAGACAGATACAAAAATCTAATGCAATACCAGATGAGTAAAGATTCATTTTGAGAAAAGGTCACCACCAGCTTGATGACTTGTGCTAACTTACTACAGTTCATTTAATCATATGCCCAGAAGTGAGGGCTACAGTCAGACCTAGTGTAGGTGGGGACATTTCCACTCATATCAAAGAGTTGCACATCCTTGTATCAAGTTTTGCTTCTTCCCACCTGGATGCCATGTGGGTTGCATCATGAAGAAGAAACATGCTCACCAGGTGCTGAGCTCTGGCAATGGCCAGGTGTGTCCTGGCTATTACAACTGCTTGGAAATGGGATTTCTATCCCATCAAAATGTTGGAGCTAGAGACAGAGTGTTCCCAGGATTAGGCAAAATAGCAGAATCTTTTCTTTTTTGGTGGGACTGATATTGAGAAATCTTTGATTTTGCATACAAGCAAATGTTTCTACAGCCCAGTGGCCTGACTGCTGGGTGGGTACTCTTCCCAAATCCCCAGCTGGGTACAGTGTGTTAGCTGCCTGGCTGCCTTGGAAGCCAGTTACCTATGGAGCAGCCAAGTGCTGGAGACCAGCTCCTTTAAAAGCCAGACAGTTCATTAGGCAGGGAGCACAGGAGCCAGGCAGGCCAGAAGCACTGCTTGCTGACCCGATTTCTGCTATATGTTTCAACACAAGCAAAATGTTCATGCAGAACATTTTGACAATAATGAACCACCATTTTCCAAATGGCAGCTCTTTTATTGGAAAAACTTTGCCCTGCTTTATGGGTGCTACCAGATGCGATAATTTCCCAGAGATTGTGTTTAGTTCAAGAACCAGTTGGCTGCAGCTTGTCACTAAAGCCAACAGAGGGAATCTTGGTAGGCATGAGAGAAACCAGCATCTGAGGAAGTGATTTCTGGTGGGTGTCTTATAGTCCAGCTACTGAGCTAATGCAATGTCTATAGTTTTAGTATGTGGAATTAGAGAATTGACTCTGGGAAACCCAGCACATTTTTGACAAGAGACACCTGGATTGTCGCTGCCTAGACTTGTATCCACCAGAAGTTTGTTCTCATTGCAAAAATTACTGGGCAGAGTTCTGGGACTTGGGCCACAGGGGCCAGAGAAGAGGACCAGAATGGTCTCTCCAGACCTTCAAATCCAGGAACTGTGTGCAAGAACTTATTAGGTATCCTGGGAAAGTACATGCAGGTGGGATCAGAGCCTGTCACCTGCCTCTCCACTTGTAATGTCAAAGTCTTTATGTCGGGACGATGGTAATAGTCCCAGGGCAGAAACCAGTCTACATTGCTTAGCTTCATCTCCATC